TCTCTAAGGCAGCCACTATAAGACTTCAAAAGAACCTTGGTCTCCACAATCTTTTATCTTAACCTGAACATTTCCCTTCTATGATCCCAGGTCTTTAGACAAACTCAACCAATCGTCAATCAGAAATGTTTAAAGTCACCTGCAGCCTGGAAGCCCCCTGCTTTAAGTCGTCCCGCCTTTCTAGACCAAACCAATGTATTTCTTAAATGTATTTGATTGATGCCTTATGTGTCCCTAAAATGTATAAAACCAAGCTGTGCCCCATCTACCTTAAGCACATGTTTCAAGGACCTCCTGAGGGCTGTGTCAGCCACCATGGTCACTCATATTTGGCTCAGAATAAATCTCTTCACATATTTTGCAGAGTTTGACTCTTCATTGACAGCTCTTCCTGAGCCATATGCACATCATTAATTTTGTGTTTTGGAATTTATAAATACTAAATACTAATTTAAAATGTTTAAAGTTCTATTGATTTTCTGCTCCCGTAAACTGGTCTATTTGAATCTATCTTCAGTAAAATACAGTTGTCAAGCCGCTTGAAGAAATCAGCAAGAAACAACTTCACTTTCTAGTGTGGAACCAAGTGCTTAAGTAGAGAAACAGTGTTTCTGACTACCATGGTTAAAAACAAATCTCTCCAATATAAATTATAGGCTGGTAAAAAGAGTTGACAGTTTTTTTTTTTTTTTAACATTTGTCATCCTCTGTTAAATATAAGCTTTTATTTTCCAAATGACAATTAACAGGTTAATTTTTACTATTTTCAGTAGTAGCCAAAGCCCAACATCTATATTTATTTATTTTTATACCAGAATTTTCATTTTTACCAGTTTTTACTAGTGATCATCAACTGGATTACACAAAGAAGAGGATGGATTGAAGGTACTTTCTAAATCGTGTGGTTTAGTTAAAATCTCAGAATATGTTGGTAGTTTGTCTTTCAGGACTTGGGCTTTGACATATGTAAATTATAAATTTCCAGTCAAATTCCGTGCTGACAACTTGAGTATTTTATGTAACAGTGAAAGAAATTCAGAACTAAATTGAAGATTCAAAAATTAAAGTGTACGTTCAACAAAACAGAAACATCAGAAGAAAGATGAACTATTGTTGTTTTAAAACTACTAAACCATATTCCAAATAATAGGACTTCTTAGGACCTTACAATTTAAAGACCAGATTAACTGTATTTTTTTTTTTATGTGAAAAGGACACCATATAAAACTGTCGACAACCAAAAATATGGACACAAAAATAAATACAATAGTTGTAAGCTTTTTCACAGTTATATAAAACATTTGAAAATTTTCCAATATTTATGACATATTAATATATACATATAACATATAACTTATGTACATATCTACATATAACACACATAAGTATACATATATAGCTAAGTATCTTCATTTGTGGAGAATGCACAAATCATTAAAATAGTACAGAGACCAGATTTACTTTAGCTTGCTTCTGAATAGTTCAGTAAGTCATGTTATTTGGAGTATGACATATGGTTTAGAGCAGGGGTCAGCCAACTATGGCCCATGGGCCAAATCAGGCCTGCCACCTGTTTTTGTAAAGTTGTAAATAAAACTAAAAACTGGGCAACAAGAGTGAAACTCTGTCTCAAAAAAAAAAGAAAAGAAAAAAGTTTGCTGATCCTTGGATTTAATGAATGAGTCATACTGTGAGATAAATATTTCACTTACTATTTCAATAAGTGTCTATTTTACGCACAGGAATTCCCACAGCTGGGGTTTTCACTAATGTGTCTAAAATAGAATATAAGATGGGCCAAAATAGCCTAACTATCCACATTAGTATGTGCTTATGCATATTATATTCACTGGTTACTAAATGTTGCTTTGTATGACCATGTCATATCTATCGTTCTGCACATATATATATAATGTTTGCAGCCTATTTCAGGGACTCATGGCTCCTCTGAAATCATAGCCTCTTAGACTTTATTTGAGTCTGTGAGCCATATGCTTGGTTCTCAACACTCTCAGCCATACTTCCCGTGGCTGTGAGATGAAATACATGTTGTGGGAAGAGGTATCAGAGTTCTTTTTTTTTTTTTTTTT